CAGCTGAGAAGTTGGCCAGGTGAGGTTAGCTGTGGCTTGTTCTGTCTCTCTGACCATCCAGCATTTCACCCCAATAACTGGCCCTGGGTTTGATTTTATTAATAAGACTCTCTAAGATATCTGCTACAAAAACCCGCATGCACAATAAAGTGAAAAATGAAAGAGGGGGGAAGATAACCTCCCTTTAGTGCTTTTGGAAGAAAGACCTGAGGAGGGGATAAAGGAAATGCCAGAGGGGAAATTGTGAATATGGTCATGTTAAAGGAGCCAGTAATGTCACCTGCATCTTGTACACAGTGTCCTTCACTTACCTGTCCTTTCAGGAGCTTCCGGGGCCTGTTCTGAGTGTTCTTGATCTTCCGTAGGGATCTGAAGTTCTAACGTGGGTAGCTGTGGCCCAGCTGGCCCCTCACCTCTGCGTCTTCCCCTCCTGTCCTCCACTCCCTAGCCCCCCCCCCCCCCAGCAGTCTTGTTTCTGTTGAGAGTGTTCCTTAGCTGCCCCTTTGGTCTTCTCCTTGGCACAGGCCTGCTGGAGTGTGTGGGAGGGTCAGGGAGTCTGAATGACACAGTGACATCGGGAGGGAAGCAGTCTTGGAGGACTGAGCTGCCGGCATTCTCCTGCTGTGTTTGCAGAGGTTACCCCGGGCCTCCGCTAGAGCTCAGACTCCTTTGTCCTCTGGGGGCTTCTCAGTGGTCTCCTTGTTCCTCTTCCCCGGTCTGTTTCCTGTATCTGTTCCTAAGCATCCTGTGTGATTGTCTTACACGCTCCTATCCACGGCAGGCTCCTCCATGCTGCTTTCTTTACTTTTCCTACCCTCTGTGTCCATGCAGTGATAGGTCCAGATCCAGAGTCTCACCTGCAGTTCCTCATGCCGCTCTGCATTGTGCCTCTTCTTGCTCACGTGGACTGTCCCAGTCATGCCTCCCCTGATGTCTCTACTTCTCCCCAGCCACTGGTTTCTCTCCCAGGCCATGGGACCTTTTGTCTCTGGGTAAAACCAATCAGAGTTTCCCACAGCACATGTTATGCTCTGGATGAAATGTCCGTATAATCACATGTGGAGGGCTTGGTCCCTTGCTGGTAGTACTATGGAGGTTCTGAAACTTTAGGCGATGGGCCTAGTGGGAGGAAGCAGGTCACTAGAGGCAAGTCCTTGAGGCATTATTTTGCCCTAGCCCCTTCTTGCTCTGTCTGCTTACTGGCTGCAGAGACATCAGCAGACCACGTTTCTCTGCCACACACATATCATAGTGGGAGAGCATGCCTAGTCTGGATTGAACAAACCCTCTGAAACAATGAGTGGAAATGAAATCTCTCCTTTTAAATTGTCCACTGAAGTGTGTGTCACACTGGTGAAAGTATGACTCTAGGCCCCATTTGGCTCATGTTCTAGTTCCTTGCAGACACCCTCCCCCCACCTCCTCAGGTCCATGCCCCTTAGCATGTGCCAGCTTGCTGCTTGTGGATGTTAGGGTGCTGGTCTCCTTGGCATAGTCCATAGAAAGCCCTGATTAGTGAGCAGGATGGATTGTTAGCTGCTGTCATAAGTTCAGAAAAGTTTGAACATTTAAGTAAAAATTCACCTCTCTTGAGAAAAAAATCAGATACTATGTCACACTGTTAAATTAACATTAAAGTGTGGGTCTGAACTCTGAATTCCTTAACCAGTTTACAAGTTTAGTGGAAAGCATGCACATTTGTTTCATTTATTATTTCTGATTGGTTTTTGCAGAGCTTGTTTGTGTCTTACTTATATTTTTTTTATTTGAGAGCCTAATCTATACGTGGTTCAAGGTTAAGCAGCTTAAGACAGAGTGTTTGTTATATAAACAGATAATACATGGTTTGGAGTAAGTAATAGGTAGTGTCTGCTGAAGGGTGAAGCAGGCAGATGGTGAAGGATGGGACAGTCACCCTGGACTGTGCTGAGTGCCCTGAGCCACCACCGCCAGTCCTTGTCCTTGTGTTTAGGCTTTTCGTATTTCTCACCACTCTGTCCTGATTTCTCACCACCCCTCCTGCTGTCTAATTCTGTTTTTCTCCGCTTCAGAAGTCTCCATTGGCTCTTTGTCAGTGAGACAGAGCATAATTTTGTTTGGCATTCGAAGCTTATAATCTTTTCCTAGTGCGGTAGCATTGCCATTTTAGGGGGGCTATTAGGGAACAGAGGACGTAGAAGTTAAGACCACTCAAATAGGAGATTCCCATAGTCTGTGCAAGACCGCAAAGGAATGTATGAATGACTGGAGCCTGTTTGCTGTGTATTCTCCATCTCAGGCACTGCAGTGGTGCTGGGCTCAGGGAACTGAGGGAGGCTTTGATGTTCAGGGATCTCATTGTTAGTAGAAGAACATGGGAAGAAGTGAACAGCCAGTGTGCTGTGTGTGTGATAGACACATGTAAGAGGCAGAGCAGGGCCTCAGGAGCCAGTCAGCCTAGGACCTTGGTGGGATGGGGGAGAAGGCTTCAGGAAAGGCTTCTGTCGGGAGGCGGGGGAATGAGTCATAGGTGAAAAGCTGCATATGTGCATGGAGGGTGAGGAGCATTTTGAGCCAAGTGCAGAGTAGGAGAAGTCAGGGTGCTTCCTCTACAGCAGGCAAGAGCAATGGGGGCCAGGGCCAGGGCCAGCCATGGCAGGCCTGCAGAACCTGGTGGAACCTGCAGAACCAAGAAACCAAGACCAGAAGGTTTCATTGGGCTAGCTCTGGGGATCTGTGGCTAAAAAGAAAGTCAGTTTTACTTAGGAGTGTTCCTGGTGAAGCCAAAGAGTTATTAGCTTTATTGAATTGTGAATCTTGAGACTATTTTGTGATGAGCTGGGAGTGCTTTCTTCTCAAATATTATTAAGGACCCGCCTTAATAGTGGTCTTCCCAGGGGCCCAGAAGAGAAGCTACAAATGGCAAGAATCATTTTTGGGAAAGAATCTAAGTACACTGAGCTCTTTGTCCATCTACTTTATTCCTCTGGGATAAAATCCTATCTACACAGCTTCAGTTCTGTTCGCATGCCTGGCTCCTTCCTTCCCTGATTTCTCTCTTCATTTATCTGCAGTTCTCTTTAAGTTCTAGCTTAATTCTCTTATCGCAGTTCTGCCCCATCTAGGTTCTCATCCATCTAGTTCCTTCCCATCTTAGCTCCTCTCCCATCTCCTCCTTTCTCATCTCCTTCTTCCTCATCTTGTTCTTCCCCATCTGGCTCTTCCTCATCTTCCATCTTGTTCCTCTAGTACTCTCTTCTAGCCCTTCAATCTAGTTCCTCCTCATCTAGTTCTTCTATTCTCTTTTCTCTTCTCTGTCTCGTCCTCCAAAATTCTCCCCTAAGTCTCCTTATACCTCTCTGCTCCCTCATCTCTCAGGTATTCCGTTATAAAACCAAGCAGTAGCAATCCTCTGGCCAAGCAAGGTCACCAGGCTTGAATTCCCACAGGGTCATAAAGGCAGACAAGAGTTTTCCTCAGGGAGTGACCATTAGGTTTTCTTTTACAACCCAAAAAGAGGGTGGTAAAGGAGGAGGTCAACTGAGAGCTAATGATTGGTTAGTATATCAAGAAAAGAGAATTTATGTGCTCAGTCTACATTCCTAGAAGTGGTTAGGTAAGAAGTTAGGAGTCTATAATGTTAGTAAGGCTGTATAAGAAAGGAGGGTCTCAGCTAAAATTGCACAAGAAATAAAGCTATCTGCCTGACCTAGGAGACAGGTGTTGTTTCCCTAAGGGTATTATTACCTTAGTTCAGGAGATCATTTGGCCTTGGATGCTTGGAAGGTATTTTAGATAAATACACTGTTAGAAGTTCTTGGAACCGCACGTAGCACACAAGAAAATTATTGTAGGAATCGGCTAATCTGTATACAAAAGCTAAAATATCACCAAGACTTCTTAAGCTTTTGTGATAGTAGCTGGGTTCCATTACGTTTTCCTGTGGTTTGCAGCTCTTTCTCTCACAGCCACTTCCAGCGGATGCTAACTTTGCTTGGAAGAGTGGCTGGCAAACAAGCTGGTTCACTGGACTTGGGTATCTGACAGAATGTCTTTCAGAACGCAGTTAGAAAGCTGCCCTGCTGCTTGTTGCTAATGATACAAGTTGAGCTTTCTAGCAACAGTTTAGAAAATGCTTTCTGCCACCGTGAACTTAGGATCTTCTGTTTTCTGTAAGAGACTTTTTTCTTGCGATTGGTGCTGGTACAATGTGGCCTGTGCTTGTGGACACTGAATGGTTAAATTTGGAAGCATTTGGAAGATGTGCATACCTACTGAACAGTTATTTTCCAATTTAACAGTTTCTGTTACAAAACCATTGTGGATTAAAGAGCCATTCAGACACTAAGACAGATGAAGGAATTTCGGAAGGACAAAGAACAAAAATTCATTGCTGTGGTATAAATGGACATTTCCTGTCCCTACTGCCAGTCCCAAATAACTGACTCAGAGACCGAATATGAATTATAAATGCTCGGCTGATAGCTCAGGCTTGTAACTGCCTAACTCTTACATTTAAATCAAACCATTTCTATTTAACTATGTATTGCCACATGGCTTGTGGCTTTACCTGTCCTCTGGCATGTCTTGCTTCCTGGGCAGCTGGCTGGCATCTCTCTTGACTCTACCCTCCTTCCTATCATTCTCAGTTTGGCTTTCCTGCCTAACTTCCTACCCAGCTACTGGCCTGTATTAACTAATGAGAATAATGCATATTCATAGTGTAGAAAGGATTGTTCCATAGCACTGTGGCTTCAGATTGCAGCATTACATGTGACCTTTGAAAAATGACCACTTGAAGAGGCTTGTTTAGTACTAGAGAGTATTTAGGCATTCCGAAGGCAGTTAAAACACATCATCCTTCTCCATCTGTCTGCCCAAGGCTGGATTTTCTTCTTCTACTTCAGATAAATGAATTGTCACAACAGATCAATTGCAAAAGAAGATATGATTGGCCACTTATTAAGTTAAGCAGTCAGAGTTGTAGAAGTTAGTTGTAAAATGCCACTTGCCTCACCAGAATGTTTTAGACACTATTTAAAAAGAAGTTGATTTTTAAGTGAATTCACAAATATTTTTGTGTTTTTACAAAACTTTATATTTTTATAAAAATCCTCAGTTTTACATTTTATGTGTGTGGGTGTGGATGGGTCCTCACATGCCTTAGCATTCATGTGGATTTCAGTAGACAACTTCATAGAGTCTCCCTTCACCTTTATATGGGTTCCAGGAAGTGAACTCAGATCACCAAGCCTTCAGGGCAAGTGCCTTTGCCAGCTGAGCCATTTCACTGGCCCTCAGTTTTAATTTTTAATATATTAAATATCATTGGATATCATTACAAAGAATAAATAGCTCAGAATTTAGTGCTGAGACATTGATATACATAGAGGTTGCATATTTGAATGGACTTTGGTTATTTATATGAACAAAAGGGCTTTGAGATTCTTAATAACTTTTATAAGTATCCAAGGTCTCCAGACTAAATAATTTGAGAGCTGCTGTGTGTGTTGGGAGGTGGGATGGGGTGGGGAAGACAGTAGCAACTGAATGAAGCTCTTGATCCATGCTTCAGACCTGTTCTCCTTAGATTCATTGTGAAGCCTGACCATATGTAGTCATGTGTTGATGTGTGGTATCTCATGATTGATTGATAGGATACTTGATAGTATTTCCTCAATTACAATGCAAGCCCAGAGCTTAGAAACCACTGGTTCCTGTGTGTGGGCTTTAAGAAAATTTAATGTCAAAATCTAGTCCAATGATAGTTAATGTAAATGGGTTTGTGTACTAGATGTATCAAAGTCAACCTCAATTAACTTAGACTGTAGAATTTTAGAGTAGAAAGAACTAGTAACTGTCATCCATTTCATCATATTTGAGGACGTTCAGGTCTGTATTAGTGATGGGCTGGGTCCAAGAACATTCAGCCTTACTAGGAAATTGAGTCCAAGTCCTGGTTCCTTCCCTGTGCCCATCACCCCTCATCTTTTTCTTGGAGGATATTTATTAAGGATAAGAATTATAATAACAACTCAAGATAAGAAGTTGTGTAGAAGTAAAACAAGTCAACTGTTCTTGAGTCTTAATTTATTGTCACAAATCACAAAACAAAATTTTCAGGTGGGTGTGCTTTTTTGGTTATCAAAAGAAAGGTTCATGTGTGTGCTTGTGGGACAGTGTTGATACTCAGCAGGTAGTCTGCTCAGGGCAGCTTCTGCCTTCGTGTGGAAAGCTGAGTCTCTCTTAGGAGAGTACTTCAGTGTTGGGGTTGAGTGGTGGACTTTTCCTTCCCAAGCCACTTCCTGTTTACCAACAGTCCGGGATTTCAGGTCCAGTTTGATTGACTTACTCTTCTGTTATTGAAAATGTCTCTCTCTCTCCAGGGGGCAAATTCCAAGCCTGTAGTGTCCTTCATTGCTGGTATAACTGCTCCCCCTGGCAGAAGGATGGGCCATGCAGGGGCCATTATTGCTGGAGGGAAAGGTGGCGCTAAAGAGAAGATCGCTGCCCTTCAGAGTGCGGGGGTTGTTGTGAGCATGTCCCCCGCACAGCTGGGAACCGCCATGTATAAGGTGAGCACACAGTGGCCATGTTCCTTCTCTCTCCATAGCTTGATGTTCTCATGCCCTAGTGCAGCGGTTCTCCACTGGTCGGTCTCCACCCCCTGGGGGTTGAATGATCCTTTCACAAGGGTCACCTAAGACCATCCTGCACATCAGATATTTACATTATGATTCATAACAGTAGCAAAATTACGGCTATGAAGTAGCAACAAAATAATTTTATGGTTGGGGTCACACAGCATGAGGAACTGTATTAAAGGGTCGCAGCATTTGGAAGGTTGAGAGCCACTGCCCTAATGTAAACCTTCTAAGCCAGGCGATGGAAGCTTGGGCCTTTACTCCCAGCACTCAGGAGGCAGAGGCAGGTGGATCTCTGAGTTGGGGGCCAGCCTGGCCTACAGTGAGCCCCAGGACAGCCAGAGCTGCACAGAGAAACCTTCCTTGAACACTCTTGCTCCCCCCCCCCAAAAAAAAAAAAAGAAACCCAACCCTGATTGAAGTGTAGACATCCGTGCCTTTGTCAGTGACAAGGCATGGCATGCACAGAAGCATTTCGCAGGCCGCAGGCACCCTGTGGGTGTGCAAGGGCTGCAGCTTTGTGTTTCATGTTTGGGTTCCCAGGAAATTGGGATCTTGCCATCCTAACTCCACAGATACCACTTTCCAGAGAGAGGGGCTGCAGTTCAGTAAGGAAGCAAACAGGGGTGCTGAGAGTGGGGGCCTGAGGAGGGTGGGCCTGGGCTGTGACCAGGTGTGCGGTGGCCGACTGTGTGGTGCTGTCCTCTGCTCGCTGGTTAGAGGAGCCCCATGTCGGATGCCATTGCTTTTCCTCTCTGATAGGCTGCTGTAGTGCAAAGCACACACCCTCAGTTGGTCTGTTCCCTGGAGTCTCCGCACTGATTCTCAGTACGTCTTGAAGAGCACGGCTCTCTCCCCTCCTGTATTTTACTGTTTTCCTCTTTCTGAGTTTTAACCTTGACCAAACAAAAAGAAAGGCAGACAAGACAACAGCTCGGTACGGCCTTTGTCTCTTAATAACAAAACACTATGTCTTAAGCTGAAAATAGGCACAGTTATTTTCCAGGGAGGGAACAGTTATCAGAGAATTCAAAAGTTCTGCTTTCCTGTGAACTTTGCCCTCATCTTAGGAATTCTAAAAGACTCCTTGTTTGACCAAATCTTTGCATCTCTTGCCTTCTGAATATCATATTCCATATATGGAGAAGTGCGATTGAAACCCAGGCAAGGGTAAAAAGCAAGTGCCTTTCGTGGGCCTTACTGCTCTGCTCCTGCGGGTGACAGGCAGCGCCTTTCCAGTGCTACAGCCTGGCTGCTGCCCTTGCTCCTTCTGGCTAGGGTATTTGTGTGTTTCGGGCATTTCTAAGGTTCTTGACGTTTTGTTCAAATTCTAGCTGAGTCAGTGTTGAGTTTTCTTCTCCGAGAAAGTCTTCATTGTCTTATCAGGTGGCCTGTTACATTCGCATACATGGCCTTACAGGTTTAGTTGAACAGTGGTGCCCATCAGCCCCAGCAGTAGTCCTGCAGTGAAGACAGGATTATTAAAGCCTATTGGCTTTGGGGTTTCCAGGAAAAAGTCAAGCTCTGTCTGTCGCTCTGGCACAGGAGCAGCCAGTTTGAAAGTAGTTACCAAGTGCGCAAGAGCCCTGGTCCCTCTCGTACATTTTACCTCTGCAGAGGCGAGGTCCTGGGGGTGCTGCTTTGAAGATCGCTTTCCCATGAATGTAATGTGCATTTTTTCTTCTCTCCTGTTTGTGAAGGAATTTGAAAAGAGGAAGATGCTATGAAGGACATGACATGAAGTTCTTTAAAGCTGTGGAAGAATCCTTGTAGACTGAGAGTCAGTCCAGAGTGTTGGCTCACACATCTGACACTGGCCTCTCATCACATGGGAAACCAGGCAAATTTTAGAATGTCCGAAATTGAGCTATTTTCACGTACTGTGTAACAGAGACAGATAATAAATCTATCATTTGATTTGAACATGAGACTTGTCATTGTTCCGGCAGTGGTGGTGGGATGGAGGGGTGTGCGTGTGTGTGTATGTGCGCGCGTGCGCGCATGCGTGTGTACATGTGTGCAAATGGCTAATGGCTCTGTGGAAAACAACAGAATGAGACTCTAACAACTCTGTTATGGCGTTTGTCTAAGTGTTCTAGACATACACCTTAGACCTTGGGGTCATAGCTCATTTGCACATAGAAGTCTTCACTGTCCAGTTCACCAGGGAGTAGGACATAAATGTCTAAAGTCTCTGGCCTGCAGGAAGGCCACCTGGCTTGCTCTGGAGCCTTACCCATCCCCACCGTCATTGTGCAGGCCGGAAGCTCCCGCCCTTGGGAAGTGGAGAGGGCTTACTAAAGTGCTTCACTGTGGCTGGACACAGGGCACCTCCTCCTTTTCTACTGCTTCCATCCCAGCTTGAGGTTTGGATACTTACTGCAAGATGGAAGAAAGCCATTGGTTGTGCAGTCTTGTGTTTAAAAAAAGCTTGTAACTGGAAGCTTCAGTGGGAATTTGTCACTAAATATGGCAGGCCCAACCCTAACTTACATTCTGGAGTGGGGAAGACAAAATATTCTCAAATTGTGTAACTACCCTGAAAATAAGCAATAGCTTTAAGAAGGAGAAGTCCAAGAGGAAGGCTAGGTGGTGTCTTCTTGGACAGGGCACTAAGGGCTGGAAAGGGAAGGCAAGCGCTCTGGGGGCTGGGGGAGCTGGTTGTACAGGGCAGGAAAAGTGCTGGTTTTGAGGTGTTCAGGGAGCCAAAGGGAACATGATCTGAGCTCATGTGACTGCTTGGGCTGCTGCTGAAGTCACAGACAGCCTGGGAAGACCACTCGAGTCTGCCCAGGCCTGGGGCATGTGGTGTGGATGGCTTTGGAGTGCAGTAGGCATGCATTTCATTACCTTGAACACAGACAATGACTCATCCCACAGGATACCTGTTAAAATGTATGACACAGTGTAGGCCGAAGCAAGTCTGCTGTGTGCCTGGGCAGGGCCTAAACTTACCACATAGGCAGGGCTGGCTTTAAACTAGCGGCAGTTCCTGCCTCAGTGCTGTGAATTCTGGGCTTACAAGCAATAGCTCCCATACCCAGCCTTAACAGTGTCTTTTAATGAGTTGAAGGTTTTAAATAAAGATAAAAAGCAAGGGTCTTTTTCTTTCTTCTTCTTCTTCTTCTTTTTTTTTTTTTTGTAACTTTCTCATCCTGAGTACTGCGTTTCTGCCCCGTGTTCACAGTAATGTTCTTGTTTTAAGAGCCTATATATGTACTCACATCACCCTTGTTGACCTTCCTGAGTACCATGACGTAGAAGCCAAGACTGACTTTCTTTCCTTACAGTTCCAAGCCTGGCCTGGTGTTCCTTCTGCCTTTGCTCTTGGCACATCTTGACTGTTCCTCGTGTCCCCTGGGGTCATCCATCAAACAACAGAGTCTCATTTTGAATTCTCTACAACTCATGCTTTTTGTTGTAGTTGCCACAGATGTATTTTTGAGTGTGTGTGTGTGTGTGTGTGTGTGTGTGTGTGTGTGTGTGTGTGCATGTCTGTGTGTGGATGTGCACATGTGAGTGCAGTCCCCACAGAGGGCAGAAGAGGGCACCAGACCACCGGGAGCTGGAGTTCTGGGCCGTTGTGAGCCACCTGCCCGCGCTCACAACTCATTCTTCACACTGGTGTTGTGTGGTGGACCTGTCAAG